TATATATATATATATATATATATATATATATATATATATACGGGAAGCCAATGGACCTTGACCAGATGTTATAGCTTGTGCATTTCTGCGATTCAGCCAGCTTAACAGATAAACACTTGTTTAGCGAAAATTGGAATTAATCATTCCGTCCTTTGAGATTAGGAGAACAGCAAATTGAATTGAGAGACGTTTGTATTTAGGGCATTCTTTGCAACGTTCCTGCGAATAAATACGTTTCGAAAATTGACCTGCATACACTTATATATCATTCGATATCAAAACACACAATAGAATTTCTCAACTCAATAAAGAGGTTCATTGAAGTGAATCACGGATCCAGGCCAATGAAACTCAAGGATCACATAACGCAGCTAAAGGTCATGTTGTGATCTGAGAACGAACAATCTTCCTCCCCTCACTATCACCTTCTCGTACCAGCTCAACGGCAAACCGAGTCGAACACAGTGTGAACAAGGGATAAAATAGTCGACGGAGAAGAACACACATACAAAACGAACGAGTACAGGTGGAACAGGTTCGTTTCTTAACTATTGACGGTATCACCTCTGTTGACGATAAAACGTTTGCAAACAAATTTCCAAGCTAGATGAACAGGCCGAACGGAATTCAGTCCCGCTCAGCAACGGGAACAGATTTTCAGTAATTTGTTAACATGCAAACCATCTAGCAACCGATTTAGTTAGCGAGCATTTATGACCTTTAAGCAATTTCAGATAACTTTTAACTCAGTACAACATTTTCATTAGATTCCCACCGTTTAAACGGATTCGCAAGGCTCAGCGGGCAGGCAACCAAGAGAAATATTTCAAAGTCAATCGCAAGCGAAGAAATAAGACAGGTATGGAATACGTAACTGGGTGTAAAAGATTAATATCAAGATAAAGGTTCTCAAGCATTCATCTTAGCCAAGACGCCCCAACCGATCACGTTCATTGCATGCAATCTCCAATTTCCAACAATCAATATTCGCGATTCACAAGAACACTCCCCGCATCTCTTCACACGGCAAATCGGAATTAAATTCAACAAGTTGCAAACACTTGAGATTACCTGACAGAATTCCAAACCAGCCTGTCTGACTGCTCGCGGGTTTGGAGACAGATGCCAAAACCAACGCCAAAGACGCTATATATAATGTGACTTGGCAATACACTTGAATCAATATCGTTTTAGGATTGTTACGTGCGGTGAGTTGTTAAATACAGCTTATAGATGAGAAAATCGATGTGCATCTAGCTAATGCATTATACAAGTCTATAATTTCGTTCAGCCAGTTTGGTTAATCAAACGTGATCTGAATCTATGCACACAGCTGATGAGATTACCACAAAATGGTTTAATTCAACACACATCCTGTGATTCTATCATGATTTTTCTTGCTAACATGAAAAAGTCTATGAGTGTTTAATAACACGTATGTATCTAATATTTACATGTTTCGATAAAACTATCGAATGTGAAAAGTTCAACGTCAACTACCGGCTTTATCGTATTCACAGTTCGATAAACTTGATTCACGTTGAGCAAAATTTAAATGCTTTGACGATAATCATTTGTTTTTCTATCAACAGTCACATTATATTTCTCAAAATGAAGATTACGCCGGAGTACGTTTATCAATTGGTACATGTTCAAATGATGTGCAAATGTTGCTACTATGTATGTATCTCAATTTTTAGGTTATAATTAAAGCTTCATGGCAACCAAGGGCTAATGCTAGAACTTTAGAGATACATGTCTTTTTACAAAACCCACTAGAGATAACATGCATGCAGGATGGAACAAATTTTTCATACCGTTGGATGAAATCAGACCTAGCGCAGTAACTCGACGGTGACTTCAGTTTAGCCGCTTTTTACAGTATAACTGGTTAACTCATGACCAAACGAAAAAGATGAGATTATCTAAGAAGTAAATGATATTTTTTGTACTTTTACACGATATAGCAAGTATCGGTACTCACTGACCTCAGCACTATCATCCAGGGTTATGACTCGATTAGAAACATAAACAACCCAGTTATTTGTTGTATGGGATTATTGAAGGATTTGCTTTGTTCATATGATGAATCCATCGTATTAGTGAGGCGTGAGCTGTAAAGCTGGGAAGCACTGGACAGCTGTTTTGACCTGGTTTGGTTCCATTAGCAGTGCGCGAATCCGTCAACTGAACTGGGGGTCAAACTCGGGACCTCACAGACAGAATGCAAGCATACTACCCAGTCAGCCACTTTTAGGTTGTTCGCGGTGGTCAGACGATTGCTAGCACCAATTTATTGCCTCGGTGGACGTGTGTGTTCTAATTTCACGACCGCCATCGCCGTCGCTCAACGTGAACAATTTTTAATCTATTGTTCAGCGGTCGTCTCGCTGGCCACTTCTGCATCCTTTTAAATAATAACTGAAGAAAATAAAAAGGAATAGAGTTGTGGAATATACTGTCACGAACTTGATATGATCCGTTTTAATTCTATTGGGTGGCATACCAAATACGGGGGATGTGGGTGGCAATGATCAATATGATTCTAACACGCACTGGAGTAGCATCGATTTTTAACCCTTTCGCACCAACTATCGATTTTTTGTCGTCTTCGAGCATCTAAGTGAAATCAGTGGAGCAATTTTTGGGAAACATCGGAAGGTTGCCCAACTACACTGTAATATTGACTTAGTGTAATTGACATTTTGTAAGTAATCGTTATTAGGTTTAATTAGGACAAGGTGTTTGATGTTAAATATACCTAGCTAACATGCTATTCAGTCATTCTTCATCGTTTCTCTTCTGTAAAAATATCAACTATTAGGCAACGTAAGAAAATGGCAGAGTGTATCATGAAAGATGTCGATACGAACAAGGATGGAAAAATTTCCGTGGACGAAGTGTTGCAGGCCAATGGGTTCCCGAAAGAATATCAAAAATTTATCGAAGATCTGTTTAAAAAGTACGATACGGATGGAGATGGCAAACTGGATCTTAATGAACTCGTCACCTATTTGGAAAAAGAAGAACTCTGTTAGGGTGGCGATGGCCAAGGGGTTGAAGTCTCCCCGGTGTACCAGGTTTCGAACCGTTCCTTCACTGCCCGTCTTTTCCATTACTGTAATTTACAATGTAGCCTCTGTATGGCGGCGTCACTCTTCTTGAAAGCTGAATGTAAATCTGTATATTTATTAATTAAAAATGGAAGTAAAAGACTTATTTTATATGACATTTGTTGTTTTATTAACCTTGCCTATTTTCACAGACTCCGTTCTGTTCATATGTGCAATTGTTCTGTCCAAAAATGGGCGAGTAACGCATTTAATTGCAACAAAACATGCGGTCTTACCTATTGTATTGTGCTGTAAGGTATTGTGCACAAATTTTGCAAACACCGAAACGTACAATCGCATTCACAAAGCTATACACAACAACTGTCAGAGAGATCATAAATAGTTTGGAAAATTTAGCTAAGGACATTGCATAGTCCAAGATTAGGAAGAAGTTCACTCAGGGTTTGGTTGTGAATAATAGTGCAGAATAGAGTGGTGTAGATGAATTTCGGGGTAAACCGAACATGCGGAGGAGTAGGAACGTGGACGTTTCACTTCTGCATGCAATACGTGGTCAGGATCCGTGAAAATTCGTTTTCTGAAACTTTCGCAGTTAACCCATTCATTGAAATAGACGGAAAGCGGATAATGATAGTTACACTGCAGATCAGGACTTTAGAATCAAGTTTAATTAGGTTAGAGAGAAAATGACTGGGTCGTGACGAACAATGATGGAGGAATCGCTGATGTACAACGATACAAATAAGAGACTCAGAAGCGTAAACGAGCTTGAGCTTTCTAAATTGAAATGATAGGGGCTTCAGTTTTCTGATGCAGTCGGGGATGTGGGTTTATCAACGAAGATCACTAGACATCGTTACACCAAGATACGTGACAAAGTTCATTTTGGATAAAGGAATGTTATTTAACCCCCTTGGAGTTTGTCGGACATGAAGATCGTGCGAAACTACAATGGACCAAGGTTGTCGGAGAAGGAGCTTTGATCCAGGGAAAAAGAATAGGGTTAGCACAGCACAACATATTTCAAAACAGGTGAGGTAGTAACACAAGGACTTTCACAAATGTATGTAAGAAATAACTATAGGGATAGCACACCTCCTTATACAGATCTCCACGGTTGCGGACCTGAAGTTTAGGTGACGCCTTTCCTCGCAACTATCTGAACATTTTAGTACCACAACTTGAGAATGATTCCACAATACAGGGATTATGCAATGGGTGAGTACGACGTATATCCGATGACTGAAGCAGGAATGCGGTATTGAGATCATCCACATAAATGTCCATCTCCGGAGTACTTCCTTTCATAAAAAGTTAGATACCTTGCTTTATGCTTTTGCTGTTTCCAATCCCCGGAATTTGTTTGGAGAATTAATGCATCTACTCTATCTATTTCACCCTTGATAAGCGTAGATAAGTGCCTAACGGTTGAAGCATCATAAGACTTGTGTGCACGTTTCTTTTTTATCGCAGTGACTGCAGGAGTGTTGGAGGTAATCCTTCCGTTGGACGCATTTAAATATTTAACAGGAAAACAGAAATCATGAGTAAATCGCGGTACACACGTGAATAACGGAGCAGAGAAAGACTCGTCGTTTAGACGTTGGGAAAACCATATCTGATGTGGTCAGATCGCTAAAAGGATATGCGGACACCGTTTTAACAAACGTTAGATCGAATTAAGGGTAAACAGTGGTCGCTAGTGGAAATTGATGATTTTAGTGTCACACAGAAGACACGATTAGGTAGTATCTAATTAATTTGTTCAGTTTGTTCAGCTCCCGTGCGACAAAAATCAGTCATACATAATGATAGTAGAAGATTGGTTTGATTAAAGTCGCCAAGGATTAAGTGTCAGTTTGCATATAAAATGGGTCGATAAAATACATAAATAATTAGGAGGATGTCAAAATCTGATTGTATAGCCGAATACAGGGTTCACTATGATATGCAATGTAGAAAGCGATTTTGTCTTATACCCAGTTTCGTGCGAACAAGCTTTGGATTGTACTTTCTCCCAACGATAAGTATAGTTATAAGTATGCGAATTGAAAAGAATAGGATACAAATTTCAGACTAAAATTAGATTGATTGCTACCTAGAAGTCCTTATTCCAAATTGAAGGAACATCTGTACACTATGTCCCATGAACAAGAAATTACTCTGCTATGAAGTCGAAATCCTGATGTCCCAGAGATATTCGAAATAAAAACGTACTCCTCAATTATTTTGTGGAATCGACACCTTAATCGCGGATTCCCCTGTCAAACAATCAAGAAAGGTGAACTTTTGTTTGATCTACTTACAGTTCATTCAGTGTGTACAACAATCGTGCTAGGAAATAACAAGTGATACTTGACCACCTTTATCGCGACTATCCACCAGAGCATACTCAAACTGTTTCTTCGCCCAATCCTCTTCCAGGCCTCATCACCCACCCACCTAGCCCCATCGTCGCCTCCTATTTCTAAATCCGTTGCCGATGTGACTAAAACCGGAAGAAAGCTGACTGACGTAAATCAATACACTTAACCGTTGGCACTCCAAAATATCTCCATTCGAAACAGAAAACGAATTTTTCCAGGAGACATCACATCAATATGAACTAATGTTTTCGCAGTCTATTACATATCATTTCGGAGGTTTTGGACAGCTGAGCTCTTTTAAGCAGTCCAAATGTGTATCTATTAAGTGACGAACATATTCCATTTTATCCACGTAAATCGGTACAGTATTAATCCGATAGACGCGTAAGCAGGTGATTCGTACAGTTTTGCTACTCACTGCGTTCCATACGTGCATCTATTTGGTGATTTCATTACTCACATCTTCCTAAATCACCTGACATTTTTATCCCTGAACGCTTACCACCTCGAGAATGTTCTGTTTAGTTCTATTCCGTTTTTCACGAAGATTTCACTATTACGAACGTCTTTCGCTGCGTCTTCATCGACCACTAAACGCCCACTGCTTTGGATACTCATGTATTGCTCTGGGTGGCATTATTTTACTAAGTGACGATAAGTGAGCACAGCTGAATTTTGATTCGGGGTTGAACAATGTAGAGAGGAAAATATAATCAATTTAAAGAAGCGGATAATTTTATCTTTGCGTTTTCCAGCTAAATGTGCATACCGAGTAAGTAATACTCCTCGGTATTCTGTACACATTGGGTGCATAGATTATAGAAATGTATTCGTTCGTTTTGGTTGTTATATATATGTGTATATATACATATTTTGGATACCCTTACCTCTATGGGAATTTTATTCAATGTCTGCTGTTTAAAGAACATAGTAACCCAAAAATTGACGCGTCNCTTTTACATTTAATTTCTCCATCCTAATCTCAGTGCAGTCCACTGCCTCACGTTCCAGGATCATAACTGCCGAGTCCCAGAAAGAGTTGTGCATCGATGACGGAAAGAAGTGGTCGCTTCAAGTTGAAATATACCGTGTTTCATTTGGGAACCATTCATCTTATTTTACTATCATTCAGTCATTCAGCCCTGACTAAAGATTTCTATTGAAAGGCGTTCATGACTCCGTAAACTGCTACACGCGAAGTGAGGGTGGGGTGAAACCAGGTTGAGGTTCTCTGAATCTTTCGATTGGTTTCGGCGACATAGTTTGCCCTATCTAGGTTTTCCTATTCAGATGCACCATCTTGACACTTGCATTCACGATGTAGCCAGGTGTATATAAACGGCCTAAATAGAAAATTCACCCTAAAAGCACTCAAGTGATCATCCCTACCGACACTGATATGAGAAAACGGTATCTGCGTCACATTCTCTTTTTCGAGCAGCTTCCCCGATGAGGTAGCAGTTGTAAACATCATCGGGTATACAGTTTTCTTCGGGATCTCGTAAATCCTCTTTCAGTTAACGTACCATAGAGGAACACCTTAGAGCTCCAACATCTTTTTTCTACATGCTTAGCTCCAATTCAATTTGCAGTATACCGGATTACCCAGTATAGCTTATTGCGGACAGTACTGCCTTTAGGAAATCATAATTGATGTTGATGTGCTAAGATGAGTTTTTGAAGAAAAAACTCAGAAAGTAGATCATACAAGAGAACACTAGTGAATATTCCGGGTTATTGCCCAAAGGATAAGTTGAATTAGATTTTCCTTTCTTTTTTACCTGTGAGAATGATAAGCCTTCAAGGCGCGATGTTATTAGAATACTGTCCTCAAGCACAGGTCGTTTAATTCGAGTATTCCAATGTACGAACAGTTGTCTTGCCTTATCGAGCTTTCGTTAATCAGACGTAGGTTTGCCCGTTTCAACCTTATACAAGAATGGATTTAGTTTTGGAAGATTGTAAATATACTCAAGATTAACCTGTGATGACCTTCTCGTACTATTTCAATGCATTTTAGATTGCATTATTAACAGATGACGCAGTTAACTTCAATTTGCATTCCAGCGCATTGCGGCACCAAAAACGTATCGAAGCCTTCTGGATACACATCGATATTTGTGAAAAAATTGTGGAGTTTTATAGCAATGCAGTGAGATATTCACTTGTACACCGAATGGCACTATGATTCTGGTTGAAAGGAATACAGTCGGAACGTGCAAAGGCTCCTACCTCATAGGAGTTCCTGCATTCATATTCGCCAACCAGTTACATTGATTTATGTGCTTAATTAGTGGCTATGCACGTGGTCTAAACTCACAGTCATCCAGATGTTTGACAATTGATACGACATTGACCACAGTGAGAAATCATATAAAAGCACCAAGCCCGAATATCGCGGAAAACGGTTTGATACACTCTCGAGGTTTGAGTAAGTGTTTGTCATGCATCCGCCTATCCTGTACTCACTTTCGTTCCATATTCAACTACTAATTATACCCAGCATCGGTTTCATAAAAGCCCAACAATAGAATTCCCTAGTAAGGTAAATTTGTATAATGACTATCCACTTTTGGTGATCTATTTGATTATAATACTTGGTTAGCTGAAAACAGTACTTTTCAATCAGTTCCAGTCTAGATCTTATTCCTAGTGGATATTGATCGCTAGCAATTTGAGCTGCTTAAACTGCTGAGGCTATTTGTTCCATATGCGGACCAAGACAGAGTTCTGTGAGACATTACTTATATGAGTCAGTAACAGACACCAAAGATACATGGGTTATCTGAAACGGCAAAGAGGATTTGTTCTGCTAGTTAGATTCTTAATCCGCAATGGCCATTTGTTCTATTTATAACAATCCAAGAGATAAATAAATTGCTGACAAATAAAGCTCTTGATTTCACCAGAGCAGCAATATGTTGACATCATCTTTTCCTCACACATTCATCAGGGTTCTCGCAATCGGACGTGAATAAATCATGAAGCTATCACCGGAGTAAGTTTCTCGATTCATTCATATATGGATGAAATTTTCCGTCGGATAAACCCCACTAGTGGCTACGTTGACATGTACAACTATTGGCTCATTTTTTATATCGAAATATGTAAGTGTATTTAACGGTCTGCACAACAAACAAACATGTTATGAAAAACGCCGGGTGAATAAACCCCGTGTAGATTAGATAAACTTTTTGATAGCGGTCTAAATGCAGTGATCGCTACCATGCTTCCCAATCGAAAAGATTAGCCCAAGTGTACAATATTAGGCACCAAAATAAAAGAAGAGGGGCATAACTTCAAGAAACTCGTTCTTCGTCTTCACACATTTCGAGAATCGGCAAATGGTTAAGCAATTTTCATCGTTTTGCGCCTACTGGGCAGCATTTCCCCAAATAAGTTGATACTATTTGTTTGATGCGGAGTACAGTGTGCGCGTCTATCAGTGATTCGTCATGTATTGTGAGCAATCAGTTTAGTTCGATTGAATTCTTCTAATCACAGGTAAAAAGTGAATCATTAATTTAATTACCAAACCAATATAACCGACCCTATTCATCAATCCCGTTTACAGTCAGGTCACTTATCCGATATCACATGCACCCACTATCCAAATACTGAGTTTACTATCGGCAGTTGTTTCCGGATCTCAAAATACTGATGGCTAAATTTTATGGTCCGTAACTCCAATACGTTTATTATATGTCCATTGATCATGGTTTATTCTAAATCTGTGACTAGTTCTGTCCACTGAGTGCTTACCAGCTCCCTAGTTTGCATTTCATTTATCATGTCTGTATAGGATGAAGTCGATTATTCATTCGAGTTCGATTTTCCAGAAAAAGCCCTGATACACTCCCATTGTTCACCCGTTGTTTTGTTCACAACAGAGATCGGAGACTGATTGCTGACGCGGTGATGCACGAATGTGATTTGAACAAGGATGGCAAAATTTCCGTGGACGAGGTCCTACAAGTGAACGGTCTGGAAGGACAGGAATATCGAGAGTTTATAGAAAAGATATTTAAAAAGTATGACGCGGACGGAGATGGTCAATTGAATTACGACGAATTTCTGGCATATTTGGAAAAGGAGGGGAACTAATCCAAAGGAAGCTTTTTTCTTCTACTGCATTATCTTCAGTCATTTTCTGTACGAAATCGGTCTTATTTTTATACTATTTTTACACAATGAAATAAATCATTTTTGTGTTTAAGGCATTTTTTTGAAATTTCAGAGAAACTTAATAAAGTGCTTACATAATTGCCCGTTTAGCATAAATGCTATTCAGCGGGTTGATTTGGGGAAAACTGAAAATCTTTTCTGGAAGTTTCGTTAGATGATTGATATGTGAAGAAATCTGTACTACCTTGTAAGGTAAGAATACTGAAGTCACTAATTATTTGTATGATAGAGGTTACGCGTAATTCACAATATAACCAGTTCATATCTTTTTTATTGAGAACATTGCGATGATGACTGAAATATGTGTCATTTCGGCGCCCACAACGCGACCTCGAAAGTATCTCTTCCTCGTCGCAATGCAAAGCTTTCGATTTATGTTCTTAACGAATTGTCACTCATTTGAAAGGGGAAAAATATCACCCGGATATCTGAAACTGGGTGTAAAGCCCATATATTACTTACAACCGAAGAAAAAGGATTGACGAATTTACTACAGTGATTACTTTTTAGTATACGAAGTTTAAATGAGCGAAATCATATGAAGAACGACAGGCGTCAAATAATTCGTGTTTGAACGTCAATGAAAACACAAACTTTAAATCACAGTTTGGAAATCGAACACACCAACTGTTATGCATTTTATTCGTCGTTTAAGCTTCCATAGAGCTGAAAAAGTACTTATCCCGACTCCTTTTTATATTCATATCTGTCTTCTGCCTTTATTAGTGATCTTTCTGTCCCACCCCTTGCGCAAATCCAAAAGTATGCTGATGACGTCTCTTTGTCTCAGACAGTTTCATCTCTCTCGGACTTTCATTCCGTTACAGAAAACCTATCCCACATCCAATAGTTTTATGACCAATCTGGTCTCAGTGTTAACATATCTAAGTGCGTAGAGTGTATTTTCAGTCCTTCCCGTTCCTCATTTCCAACGGACTCTGCTATTCTTAACGATAAACCTGTATCTAGAATGACCTCAGTCAAGTACCTGGGTGTCACCATCAACAGCAATCTTCGTTGGTCTCCACATATTTACAACTAGATGGGAAAACTGCGACCCCTATCTTTTCAGTTACGCAAACTCAGGGAATTCCGAACCTCGCAGTTAGTCCTGTCATCCTTTGTTCATCAATTCGTTTTACCCATTCTACTTTATTGCTCTCCTGTAGTGTCTTCTGGTCTTCTAAAACAAGACTGAAAAATATTTCGCTGCGGTTTGGTGATCATCAGTCGTACATCATTAATTCCGATCGATTAATTGATCACAGATCTAATTGATGGTCACGTCAATTCCTGTTTTAAATGTTCTCACAAGATTCTAGATCTATCGACAAGACGATAGATTCTCATCCGTCCACACGCTCCTTATTTCGATATCTACCCTCTCGAATTAGCATTTATAAAAGATCCCCTGTATCCTACCTGACCCGACTACTTATCAATAAAGAACAGGTCTCAAGTGAACTACGTCAAAAGTTTTGTACATGAGACAAATATCACCGACATTCTTTACCTTTCGTTTTCATTATTATTATTTCATTCTGCGTGACGAACTGAAATGTAAGCATAAATGCCTGCACAAGTTATACAAATACAAATTAAAGATGCTTTCAAAAACGTTTTGAGTATCTCGCACTTCTCTACCTGCGACGAAACATCTTACCCTGCGTGGTTCCGTAGGCCACCAACCGATTGCCTTAGGGCAGCTTTCGATTGTACCTACGCGTAAAACCTTTTGGAATTGGATTTAGCTTGCTGAGCGATCCCTAATTAATGTTTCATTTTTGCTTGTTTTATAAGCTTGTTTGCGTAATTTCCGGCCATTTTGTCGACCAACCACCTTTGCTGCCGTGCGAAGTTTGTATAATTTCTCCATTTACGCCCCTTGAATGTTATTGCTCTCTTTATGGGAGTTGTCCACCACGAAGGGCCTTGAGTAATCCTCTTCGGTTGCACAGGCGCATACCTGTGAGTGAGCTCTACTAGACGTTCCCAAAGTACGCCTCATTCCTCTTGGACAGATGCATCTTGGCTAGGCGAACATCAAGTAGTTGAACCAGCCTCTTGAAGTAGGCCGGCTATATTC